ATGAAAACTGGGTGACAAGTAATTTATTTTTCTCTATATGGACAGGCGATAAATGGTAATATTAAGTGTCCCCATTGTTAGCCTGTATTACCCACAATCCATCACATCCAGTGTGACACGACACAGCCCTGGTTTGATTTACTCGGAGCACTGAGGCATAAATCGACCTGAGCGAGTGAGACCAGGAGCGCTCGTGTGCCGGGCCGGAAATCCAACCAATGTACACTATATTTATAGAGCTTATAGCAACATTACAAAAAACATAACTGTACTTCTGAATTCGAGCTTGTGTGTGTGTGTGTGTGTGTGTGTGTGTGTGTGTGTGTGTGTGTGTGTGTGTGTGTTCGGCAGAAGCCAAACTAAATTAGGAAAAAAACAAAAACAGGATCTTTGTTGTTTTTCTGTTAACTAAAAACCAGTGCGTACGCTGAGCTCGCTTTGCAGCGGCAGCCTGGCTTGACTTTGAGGACTTATACATTAATGCTTGTGTGTTGCAATGCACACATACATCTGTGTGTGTGTGTATGTGTGTGTGTGTGTGTGTGTGTGTGTGTGTGTGTGAGAGAGAGCTGAAGACAGAAGGGGGCTCAGGAGGTGTTGACTGTGGAGATTAAAGAGGAATTAGAGAAAGCAGAGCGCATGGAGGCACAGAGCGACACGAGAGAGAGAGAGAGACTCTGAATATTCAAATCTCTCATTTAAATTCTGCCGCAGATTACTGAATCTTTCATCTCTGAAGGAAGGATCGACCTCACTACCCATGACCTTGTGTGAGTGTGTGTGTGTGTGTGTGTTGTATGGTGACAGACTGGCCCAAGGCATTTTCTATGTGATTGAAGATGTGTTTTCTCTCTCTCTCTGTACTCACAACAACACCATTGTAACAATGTCATCGAGGATGTTCTGTTGCCACTCCTCCGAGGGCACAACACATGTTTTACAGCGCCGTAATGGCTGAATGCACGTTTAACTCATTTGTACGCCGGGGTTCATGCGACACGAGCCTCAGAGCTGCTGTAGAATTGCTGAATCAACGTGTGACTGTGTGAACGTGGCCTCTGAACTGGACTGCCCCTGCAACAATCACTCATGTCTGACACAAGCCCCCCTCCAAAATGTTGTGCCCCTTGTTTATTTCTCCCTCTCCTTCTGTTTAAATGTGCCTCCAGAGGATAAGCAGCATTCTTCCTGCCTCCCACAGTAGCACTTAACTTGAACATCCAGCTGCTGCATACCACGGCAGCGGGAGCTTGGCGCATAGGCAGAGACCATCTTTTCCAGAAATACAGCAGACGCTGCTTCCCCCGATGTACAATATTAGCACGTCAAATCTGTGAGAAGCAGGAGATGTAGACATAAGCAGTGGGGGAAGAAGAAGTACACTGAAAAGTAGGTGAAAGTATTCTCAGCTAAATGTACATAAAGTACTCATTGTGCAGTAAAATGTTCCCTGTCAGTGTTTTACGATTCTGTTTGATGTTAGTGCATTAATATTGCTTCAGCATTAACGTGTATGTTGCATTTTTACTGCTCTGGATGTTTACGCTCTGTAATTTGAACTCCTTTATGGACTGTTGGATGGTTTCATCAACAGGTACGCATTACATTATGTGTTTGTAGCGTTGCTGCCCTGTGACAACCTTTCATGAGCTCTGAAGTAAAGCCGTTTTCAAGAGGCTTTTTAAACAGTTTAGTCGCTCTACAAAGTCCATCCATTGGTTTATCACAAACATCTGGAGAGACGTGGTTTTCACTGGACAGGAAGGGGATGAAAACATGTCATCTGAGAAAGAACCAATTGTAGTGGAGTAAGAAGTACAATATTTGTAGTAGAGAGAAACATAATATGGAAATACTCAAGTATAGACCAAATACCTCAAATGTGTACTTCATTACAGTACTTGAGTTCATGTATGCACTTGGTTACATTCCACCACTGCATATATAAGTCGCCTTTAATGCTCAGAAGTGCATTGCAGTCCACAATAGACTGCAATATAATAGCATAGTACTCTTCAGCTTTAATTGGTCTACATATCTCATATTTGAGGAGATCCAGATCTTGAACTTCCCTCCCGGTGGACAGAGGGAAGCTGTTGTCAGCAGGGAGAATAGAGACATGGTATTCAGGCAGAGTGCATTGCACACTTGTCAGGTTTGGTTAATTAAGCGGTGCGACGGGTAAGGCTCTCAGATGTGCATATGGACTGTCATATGACGGTGTGTTGGTGGGAGCAGAGCGAAGATAATAGGCTGTTATATTATATTTTTTCTTCTAAAATGTAAAATGCATTCACAGAAAAATGTCGTTTCCCGCTGCGGTTTGACTGAAGTATGTTTGTGTTTGCTGTTGTTATTCCCTGTTCAGAAGTTCTCTTAAAATGAACAAGGACACAAAGAGTTGATGGTGATTTCTTCAGTTGTCCACAGCTGATATGACAAATAGCCTCAAACTCACTCATCCGTATCCTGATGGTTGAATCAACATCTGCTGTTAAACCCACACACGTCTGTATTCAGATACACGTTCACATGAGCCTCGTTACCCTGAACACTGTGTGCAACACCTCCTTCCCTCATGTAGTATCTGCTCATGTTGAACGTATTTAGTCTTGATTGCTTTTTAATTGATCTTTAATCTTTGAACACAACATTTACCGGCAGAAGAGATGCATTTTCATCTATTTCATATGTATAAATAACATCTGTTATTCATTTTTTATAATGTTGAATGACAAATTTTACAACAAAAACTTCAATTAGCCCTGTTTTTATACATGTTGAATTACATTTTTTAATGTGTCCGTCTGTCCGTCCGTCCGTCTGTGCAGTCCATTCTCGTAAACACAATATCTCAGGAGTGACATGAATGTCTTCATATTTGGCTCAAACTTCCACATGAACTGAAGTACCGATCAAAAGGAAGGTGACTTCTCCCCAGGAGCACAGTCTCTTGGTTTTCCTGGTGTGGACATGTTTAGTCTAACAAGTGAAAGATGAAGACAGTGTGCTGGGTACCATCATCTCCTTGTGACATCTATGCAAAGTATTGACTGGAAAAACCTGTCGTGTCGGATAAATTCAAGATTATAGTCTTTACTCTTATCAGCCACTGGAGGGAAAAAGTTTAAGTCAGAATTTTCCGCTGATACAAACTTCTGTCTCTGCCTCTGATCACAGCAGAGAGCTCCGATTGTCCTCGTATATGTGTGTGCGTGTGTGTGTGCGCGCGGCATAAACTTAATTTACATAAAATGTATAGATGCGTGCATTTGTGTGTGTGTTTTGTGAGTCTGTATGTACAGTACGTCTGTGTGTGAGTAATGCAGGAGACAGTGGTCACCCTTTGTTTTCTGCTCTGACTCCCTTTCTAATTAGAACAGCACTTCACCATGGGAATACTTGAATACTGCAACTTGGTGCACACACCAGATCCCTGCATGTGTGTGTGTGTGTGTGTGTGTGTGTGTCTGTGTGTGTGTGTGTGTGCGTGTGTTTCTGGGACAAAAGCCAAACTTAAAAAACAGCAGCATCGCTGCCTCTTTTTCTACTTTAGGAGACATGGTTTAAAGCGATTCCTTTCTCTTGTTCTCTGTTGTCATCCAATCTCTCCATCTCTCACTCGCACTCTCTTCACACTGATTACGTGATGATTATTTTTTGTTCTCATTTTCGATATATTTACATCTTATAACTGTACTGCAGCTGCCGACGCTCTGGGATTTATTGTCCATATGTTTGGTTTTGGTCAACTTGTGTTTTCATAGACTGGATTGATTTATGTGCAACATGTTGTCGGTGCTGCTACGATGGATTTATGACTTTGTTGATGGTAGGAGTGCGGCTGCACTGATCCATTCTGTGGGATCCTCCACGATGAGCACACACATGTCACATGTCTTTGACAGATTTGAATCGGTTTTGATGAGGAGAAAAAAAGTATCAGATAAGACAGCATTTTGGGATTTTGGAGCTGACTGAGTTTTTTTTTATAGATTTGTCATCTTCTTCATTGAGTCAATAGAAACGAGGGCGCAGTGTTGGTTGCCGTCCGTGTTGCTGCACAAAGATAACCGGACGGATTGAAACCCTCCATCAAATCTCCGTCCTCGCGGTGAGGCACCAATCTGGCCACGCTGTTAAGACTCCATTCCTTATAGACGGATTATTATTGAAGCTCTTGAAGAGAAAGGAAAGAAAAGTCCACCGCTGACCCTCCGTGCCCTCTGTAACGCACCTCCTTGCCCGACATAGATAATCTCGCTCTGAGTCCAAAAAGGATAAAGAAAGGATAACACAAGCAAGAGGAAATCGACACACGATTATTCACAAGTGCTATTTCAGTCAGCTCAGGAGGTGACATCTGACATTGTTATACCCAAGATACTTGTGACAAGAAAGTAGGACTCACAAGAATACATCTTGAGACTCACCAACAGATTAGCATGAATACTGCATCTGGGATTATAAAGAACCCATTGCTAGTTGTGATAGACGTCATTTCTCTTGCATTTTCATTGATCAGTTAGCAAATGATGCCGCAGGATGTACAGTAGACATGGACCCATTACGATGTTTATCTGTGAAACAGGGAAAATGCCTGTAAACAGATTAACAGACAGTCCCACTGGGTCATTTCTGGACCGATTATGTCCATTAGAATCGCACAAAACTTCCTTTTGGCATCCGGCTGCGGTGTGTTGTCTCACATGCTATTATGCTGAATCATGGTTGATCTTTCTCTAGGATTTGAGCCCTTCTTATGCACGCTTATATATCTCTTACAGTATATATCACGTCATGTCATTGTTATGGACTGGAACATCAACATAATCTAAAAGCATGCTAAGGACATTTTGTTTCCATTTTCAACATCATGTTATTGTTTTAGTCGTTGTTTGTCCTCTGAAGTTCATGATGTCTCTGGCCTGGGATGAACAGTCCTCTCTGTAAACAACAAGTTACGTCCCATGTGCTTTGGCCTTAACCTCTTCCTGCACGTGGTTCGAGCACGTATCCATGCTGGTCATCCTGCTCAACTGCGTCACTCTGGGGATGTTCCAGCCCTGTGAAGACGTCACCTGTCAGTCCGAGTGGTGCCGCATCCTACAGGTCAGTGTGACGGCCTAACATATGTTATATTGCAATATTATCTTACATATTACATATTTACAGTATATAATGTGTTTGCATTAGATAGTAGTGGCATGAGAAACGGTGTTCATTACCTTGGTGTGACATGTTCTTCCACATAAGCACCTTTCACTGTAAGTCATGTTCCATGTTTTGATTTTTATCTAGTCAGCTGTGTCAGCGAATAATTCAAAGGCGACATCACTGATGGGGCCGAATGTAAAGGACATACAGGACTATTTTATTGCAGATAAAATGTGTCTCTTACGCCAGGGATTGATTTCACATTCTGAGTTGAGCAACAACAATAACAAGAACAATTTGTAAACAAATGGAAATGAGAATGTCTTTCATTCTTTCTTCTTGTCTCACTCGTCTCGTTTGTTCCAACATGCTCGTATTGTCGAGCGATGTTGATTCTTGGCGCAGTGAGACGTGCTCATTATATTCAAATACAGACCTTCCTCTTTTTTTTTTTTTTGTTCTTCTTTGCTGTAGTAGAGATCTAATTAATTGAGACACAGCCATAACCACGCTAAGCCAGAGCTATTCCCTGCTGGGATGAGACTAACTAATGGAGACAAGAATTTCTTCCCGACAACCTCCACTGGCTCTTCCACAGCTCCTATCGGCATGTGATGAGGAAACTTTATCCAGGAGCTGACCTTATTCTGTGCATATCCTCTGGTTCCTATTGTTGGGATTCCACCTGTGTGTTTGTCTTCCTGTCCGTGTTTCTTCAGGTATTGGACGACTGTATCTTTGCTTTCTTTGCGGTGGAAATGGTCATCAAGATGGTGGCCCTGGGAATTTTTGGCCCCAATTGTTACCTTGGCGACAAGTGGAACCAGCTTGACTTCGTCATCGTCATGGCAGGGTCGGTGTCCCGAAATGCTTTTTTGTTTTGCTCTTACCCACAAATTGCTCCATTTTCTCTGTCGTCCTGAGACGATAGCAGCCTGCTTAGAATAAAATCATATTTTGCTGAACACGAAGTAAACAATCAAACGAGCATGAATGAGATATCACACAAAGACACTCACAGTAAAGATGGCTACTCACAGCTCACGCATGATACAGGTGTATGTTTTAACACCTGTGGGTGTGTTATGTATCATTTCAGTCTCTGTTTTCACCCCATCAGGTTACGGTTTTCACTTACTCTAGAAATGTGAATATTTCTGCATACTGGGGTCCCTGAACAGTCTCTGAATGTCATAAATTGACCGGAGAGCCGAGACTCTTGTGGCTCCAATGAGCCCAATTGTATCATGTGTGTTGCTGTTAGTTTCCATATAAGCCATTTCATGTAAGGCCACCATTTGTTTTTAAATACTTGACGTCACTGTATATAATGACTATGTACGTTGAGGCGAGGGCAGGACCCAATCAGCAGCAAGACATTCTTTTAGATGCTCCCACGCTCTAAGGACCGAGCCAATGTGACCACACACACTCTCCTCACACAGCCGGCACACTCACAGGGCAGAGTACAAGAAACTAACACAATTAAGACCACAGCTGTCCCTCTCTGCCTTCTTGTCACATTCATGTGCTACGTGCACTATACAGAGGGAAACGAGCGTTTGACTCCATGTAATTAAATGTCATACGTGCAGTAATTATGTGGGTAGAGGTATTATGATATTTTTGGTATTCTTAGATTGCTTGTTGTTGCTTTGGGTCAATATATCTGCGTGTGTGTGTGAGTACAGAACATGAAGTGAAACTCTCTCTGGCCGTGTCTTCAGGGTGATGGAGTATTCTCTGGATGGCCATAATGCCAGTCTGTCTGCCATCCGAACCGTCCGAGTGCTCCGGCCCCTGAGGGCCATCAACAGAGTACCAAGTAAGTCCATGTTTAAACCTTAGCAGGGAGGCTTGTTCACCAGGGCCGACCTGATTGGTCCTTGATTTGCAAATAAGCACAATTTATCCATCTGTGGTTATTTGCTCTTTGGCTCAGTGCTAGCAGCATAGCACACAGCAGTGATCCACTGAACTAGCCAAAGCCCTGACTGTCTTTTTTTAAAGGAGGATAAAAGCATGTCTATACTCATCAATACTAAATTATGAAAATGCTTTTTTAAATTATTTTTTTTGTCAACTCTGCATAATTATCTGTTGCAGAGTGCTTCTTTTTCAAAAACTGACATTATATTATTGTAATATTCACATAATTGTTCATATTCACATATCAAAGGTTGTTCAACTTATGTACATTTTACATCATATTACATGTATTGATTTTTTACCCAATCCTACACAGGTATATGCATTTCACCTGCAACCGCTGTGATGCTGTACATTCTCATGTTATCGTTCAACGAGTTTGCACCGAGCGCTACGAAAGCAAAACCACATGAAAAAAAAAGTAGAGTATTTTGGTGTCTATGTTCTCACCACTTACTGGTGAGTCGACCGATGATCCGGGACTTGATGTCTGCTTAAATCTCACTTCCAGAGGTGGTACCGCTCCAGTGCCGAGTCAGAACTTGCACATAGTTTGTCATTTTCCGAAAAGCTCTGTGACAGAGGTGGCCATGAATCTACAGCCAAAGAGGATCACTAGACAACAATGTCATAACAACGCAGAAGATTATTAACCAGCGTACGCGAGTCATGCAGCCAAGTGTTGTTTTTCAGGCTTCAGTCTGCCTGTAGCCGTGGACATTTTGTTCAATACACTGTTCAATGCACTCATACACACGGTTTTAAACCTTTCTTTCTTATTGCACTCAACTGTTTCAGTCTGATGTCATCCTGTTTATTATCTTCACAAAATACATTTTATTGTTCATATAACACAAAGTATGAAAAAAATCAGGATCAATAGGGTTATAGATGTCTGCTTGTTGTCTGGCTGCAACAAGCTAAAAGACAAAAAGTGTGTGCGCGTGTGTGTGTGTGTGTGTGTGTGTGTGTGTGTGTGTGTGCGTGTGAATGATGACCCCGCTTCCCTAGAATAACCCAGCTGTTCGCATGTGACACAGTGTGATCCAAGAGTCTCCCATGTAATTGATGACGTTATACGTTTGTACAAGCGTGTATGTGTGTGTGTGTGTGTGTGTTTGCGTACTGCAAATAAACCCAAACAATCATAAAGCATGGCAGGTTGTCTGCTTCTCTCGAGCTATCGTCACACACAGTCTCTCACACACACACACACACACACACACGTTCACTGTGTTGTTCTACCTCAGTGAGGACTTATATTCAACATTAACCTTAACCTTATCGCTAAGCTAACAGTAGGCCCCGAGAAACAGTCTTTACAGCCTCGGACAAGGTGAAGTGAATCTTGTATTATTGTAACAAGTTTCCAGTCGCTCCCTGAAGGGTCTGACACAGGGAGGGAGATGGAGGGAAGAAAGAGGGAGAGAAGCACAATGAGAGATATCACTTGGGGCTGGAAGCTCAAGGTTGGTGGAGACACAAACAGACACATATACTCACAGGTACACACAATCAGAGACAGGATGAACGCTCACTGTCTTCATTTTTCCCTCTCTCTTTCATCTCTTTGAGGCTCCCATCTAATCTTTTGTTTTATTTGTGAATCTGAATTGTGATCAGAGGCCGGGTGTTTGTGGGTGCGATCCAGCCGGGCTAACAGCCAGGCTAAAGTTTATTCCTCTCCCCACTTACCGTCTCTGTTTGTCTCTCATCGTTCTGCGATCACTCCGTCTCTCTGTTTGTCTTTCTGCCTAAGTGGATGGGAAGTATCTATTGTTAGACACATGTTGAATGTGTTTTTTTCCTGCTGTAGTCTAGATACAGCGAGCAGGACTCTCTGCGCTCTATATTTGTGGCAAACGCAACGACCGGCGCAACTAGCGCTTCGTCCGTTTGTTATTTTTCTCACCTTGAAATCTGCTTTACGGATCTCAAAACACAAGTTTATTCAAATGAGACAACACAAAGTAAGTTGGTATTCTGTCACTTTACTGCCAGTCTGGTCATTTAAGCTAATGCTAAATATACTCATGACACATCTCTACTACACATTCATTGTTATTATTTTCTGCTTATCCACAGATACCATCACACATGTTCATTGCACATGTTCTGCTATAACTGAATTAGATTCCTGGCCAGTGCGGTTGGGAACAGATTGTGAAGAGCAGTTACTTCATCATCGTCGTTGGTCTGTCTACCGACGGCAATGAGTTGACATTAACATATTCAATTAGATCTAATCTAAGAAGCCACTTTTCTGACTTTATTAAAAGATCTTCTCGTAGATTGAGGCCTAAATCCACAGTCCTGCTTCTTTCGTCTCCTCTAAATAACATCACCCCTCCACACTTCTTACAGGCTCAAATAATGTGCATTGCCTGACCTCCCGTGTCATGACTCTCTGATTCAAACGCTCTCATTGAGTCTGCTGCTAGTGCACCATTACATTGCATTTGTTTAATTAAACCTACCAGAGTGCATTGTAACTCTGGGTGTGAACTTAGGGGACAATCTACTTTTTAAATCACTGTCTGTGTCGTTCTAAGCAGTGATGACATAGTCCCCAAAATGTTGTATGGAGCAGCCATTAGTATTCAGCTAAGAGGGTGTCAATGCTGGGAGATGTTTGAGTAGGTTTTGACAGTAAGGCATCTGTTTACTGTTTACTCAGTGTGTGCATGTGAACATTTCCATGTGTTGTATTCAGTAGTTGGTATACAGCAATACTCTGGTGTCTCAAGCACACAGGCATGCTCTTGTTGTTCAGTTTGAGGATGAGAGATGCGTGTCGGGGTGTAAGGTTTTCTCCTTTGACCGGTCGGTATAACCTTTGTTTTGTTGAGACGATGATTTAAACTGGACATTTCATCGATACTCTGGTTTCTGTTCCATCCCACAGCCATGACCTTATCTCGTTACAGCTCTGACAGATTGACCCTCACCTGCCTGGTTGTCACATATCTCACAAAAAAACACATTGTCTCACATGCAACTCCAGATGTGCAGCTGAACTGGGATCGGTCACTCATTACGGATGGATGGTTGACTGGATGGATAGATGCATGATCGATGGATTCATTTAGAGTAGACTTTGACTTATTTCCACTATCCCATATACACTGTGGAGACCAAAGCAAAAACCCAGCTCAGGGCATTTCATGCTGTGGGACTGTGTCGAAAATATGTTCTCGACAACAACTTTGTGTCTAATGAAAGCACATCTAAAATGAGTAGAATTATAAATTTAGCTCCAAATGATCTCGACTAAAAAAAAATCTATAACACACACAATTTGCTCATCTGTGCTTCCAAACATATATTAACAATTAATGATAATCTTCTGGACAATTGTATGAGTCTGATTTGACTCAGACGTAGTTTAAATTAATTTAATATTGATAATAGTTATGATAATATTTAGCGTCTGGCACAAAATTCAACAAGGAAGCTGGTGAGTTAAAGGTGGTAATCTTGTGAAACTAGCGAGACTACGCTAGTTATATAACCGAAAACCCAGCCCAGTGTTGCCAACTCTTTACCTGTAAGTAGCTAGCAGCAGTACACAAAAAGGCATGTGGGTTGATTTTTTGTCAGAGCGTTTGATTCGTTGATTGCTGTCGGGATGTAATCAGAGTGTCAACAAATTTAATCAAAAAGTATTTGTGAAGAAGAAAACCATCCTGATAACTGAAAACTCCCCAAACAAGGAGCTTTAAATGTGTTTATCATAGCTACTGTCAACATTAGCAGTGACGCTATGGAATTTCCCGTACTGTAAGTGTGGTCATTGTGAAAAGGCTGATATACGTATATGTGAAAGGGACCTCGGGGACAAGATCCCTGACTCTGCTGACGCTAAAGACATCCGACAGCTGGAGATGGATGCTGAACACGTGTGGTTAGATAATACTAGCCACAAGGAAGCTGTGAGTTCAAATCCCGGAGGATGAAATAATGTCAAACTGTCACTGTCGGTATTGTCATCGCTTGTAATTATGTTGGCTGTGGGGATGAATTTGTGGGTTCCAAGCTCACACGATCAATGGAGGTTGTCAGGGTTTGCTAGTTATTAGTTAGTAAAAGTCTATTTAATGCAAAACTCAACTGTCATGTGTGTGAACTCTAAACAACGTGATAATTTCTGATGCTATCTTTATTTCTTTGTGTTCCACTTTGTAGGTATGCGGATTTTGGTGACACTGCTGTTGGACACCCTGCCCATGCTGGGAAACGTCCTCCTCCTCTGCTTCTTTGTCTTCTTCATCTTCGGCATTGTGGGAGTCCAGCTGTGGGCGGGACTACTGCGCAACCGCTGCTTCATGGAAGAGGACATCAGAATGTAAGGAATTCTTCTAGTCATACAGTATTTGCATTTTCCTTATTACCTTCTAAGCTGGAAGTAGCACAGATGGTCCCAGGAATCCTCTTCAAGACCGTGGTCAAATCTAGACTGAATCAGTGAAGCAGAAAACTAAAATGAGTGAAAAACTCCTTCAGTAGACTCAGAAGTTTGGATACATTTTTAATTTCCCACTAAATAGAAGAAGTCTACCCACCCTGTTTTGCCAGTGCTGTTCTGCACATCCATATGGTGACCTGCACCGCCTCCAGCAAGCACACATGGGCTCTTCAAACACGCTCAGATCACTGAACTCAAACACACGATCTTTCCTTTTTTCTGCGCCTTTCATTTCTCCTTCTGTTTTCACCCTTCCTCCTCTTCCTCCCTCGGCCTCTCTCGGTAGAGATTGTGTTGCGTTGTCACATGGTGTATCAGTCAGCTGTTGCCTGGAGCAAAAACACAGAAATTGTAACTTGTTAGGGTACACTGACTGCATCGCACCCCCAGGATGTAAACCACCGTATGGCCATAATGATGCTAATAATGACAATAATAATAATAATAAACTCTTTCATACAGGGGTAGTAGTTCAAAGTGCTTCACAAAAAATGAAGGAAACAACAGAATGAATCAAAACAAACCGATTAAAACATTCTAATACTGCAAGATACAAGCAATCACTAAAACAAAGGGAGGCATAAGAACAATAAAACATGTAAGAGATTAAAGTTATAGGCAATGCTGAGTAAATACATTTTCGCTTGTCGTTTAAAAATGTTCACAGCGCTCACATCTGTTATAGCCTTGGGTAGGTAATTCTATTGGCCGATAAATAAAAGAGGCTTAGCTGCCGATTTTCTTATTCATGTGATAGTTTGTATTAAAAAATACATCAGCAGAGGATGTAAGAGACCGTGAGGGATTATAAAACGACAGAGAATGAATCATTTATGCCTGTCGCAAACCATTAAGAGCCTTGTAAACAAGTTAACAAACTTTCAAATCAATCCTTAAAGACACCGGGAGTCATTGCAGGCTAGCTCAGCTATGCTCTCTCTCCGTTGTTCTTGTTAAAAGTCATTTGACAAAGGATTGTTTTGGAAGACGGATGAAGAGAGCATTACAGTAATCTTATCTGCTGGAAATAAAGGCATGAACAGGTTTTTCGGCATCTTGTTGGAAAAGGAACCATAGCGATATTTCTTAAATGAAAGAAAGCTGCAGGGAGAAGTCAGGACGGAAACACAGGGAGAGAGATGTGGATAAGGTTGTAGTCTCAGCACCATGTTATTTAATATCCGTGCAATAAACTTGCAGATAAATTAGAGCGATCCAACACACCAGTTCTAAAACTCCTCCATGAAGAAATGAAGCTCCTCTTTGCAGACGATGTGGCGCTCATACTTTAAGATGGGTCAGAGTAAAGCCTGAAAATATTACACTTGAAAACGATAATATTACAGGAAAATGTAACAGACCAAACAATAAAACAACCTTGGACATAAAATCAGCATAACAGGAAATGTCTAAGCAGAAAGAAACTACTTCTGTAATGAAGTCCCAAAGAGATTTAAAATCTATACATATTGACAAAATGTTGAATTACATTGTGACTGACCCAAAACAGAGAAGACACATTGACACGGTGCAGGCTCAGTCAACACGACGCGGGCCGACACAGAAAGATTAAGCTGCACTTCCTTCTACACTGCACACATTATGCCAATATTAGATGAAACTGTGCTCCCAGATGTATCTTATCTCGTGATGAATAAGATAAGATCCATCTGATGAGAGAAGAGCTACAGACAAACAACCACCATCTCCACAGGACACATTCACACACAGAAAACAAAAGATCAGAGTCGACCAATTTAGCTGTGGGGACTAAAGTAAAGTGATGCAGAAGAGAAAGAGAAAACTGCTTCAGTGTCCTCAACCACAGGAAGGCAAAAGTGTCACGTAGACGTCCCTGAACTAATTCTGTTTTGATGTAATGGTACAAATTGTACCACAGTTGATGTTGCTGAGTCCTTCCTGTGTGTGAGAGAGAAAGACGGAACGAGAACAGCGGCTCAATGTTTCACAGCCGAGGCTGCTGTGTTTTCTCTGTCTGACCTCCAGTACAACAGGACTCACATGCATTTGCTCAAGTCTTTACTGAAGTACAATTTTGAGGTACTTGTATTTCACTTAAGTATTTCCATCTTGTGCTCCTACATCTCTGAGGGGAATATTGTACTTTTGACTTCACTCACATTTATCTGATATCTTCGGTAACTTTACTGATTCTGATTAATGACACAAAATATAATCTCCATATTAACTATGATGTATCGTTTTAGGTTTAATTGAGACCTGATCCCCAGCGGGACATTTCACAAGCTACCCGGCAGTAAAGTAATAAAATTAGCTTTACAGTTACGAACTACAACATTCAAAGAGATTCAAAGAAGTATTAGACTTAGACCATTGTCCTAATCACAAATTACATATTCTGTATATTCAGTTCTCCAGTTCCAGAAACCGGTTCATATTTTCTCAGTGTATCTACAGTATACTACTAATATGACCTACTATAGAACGTGTAGCAAAAACAGACAAGCAAACAAACAAACAACAACAACAGAGTATCTGTAATTGATGTATGTATTTATATCTTTTCCATCCAGAATGTACAACTTGTCCATGAGTCCTTACTACATGTCGGAGGAAGGTGAAGACACCCCGTTCATCTGCTCGGCTCCCCGCGAGAACGGGATGCTGCGCTGCCACAACGTGCCGGCCCAAGTGGAGGGCGGGGCCAATTGCTCGTTGGCCGCTCCTCTCCAAAGTTCGGCTCTGATTGGAGCGGCCGTGGCCAGCGTTAACGGCTGCGTTAACTGGAACCAGTACTACAACGTGTGCCACCCCGGGGAATTCAACCCTCACAAGGGAGCTGTCAACTTTGACAATATCGGCTACGCCTGGATAGCCATATTCCAGGTAAGAAGGGCTAAATGTGCAGAATTAAATGTGGAAGCAGAAAGAGTAACTTAACACAAGGCTGAAAAACAGCCAACTAATTTTGTTAGTTCTAATAAATAATTTTAATAAGTTTTACAAAACATACCTTATTAGAATGTAATTTTTCTTCCTTTATAATAATGTAGATTCTTCTCACCTAAAAAAAAAACAGGAAGCTCACGATATCGCTCACATTTTCTTTTAGTGAGTGACATTTGGTTACATTCATGCAAAATAAGTTGACTCTAACAGAGGGCATGGTTTGTGACTGTGGTTTTAGCAGAACGCAATATGTCTAACTAGACTGTAAGAGTTTTAATGGGTGTGGACGTCCCATTGGACTTGTACTGGGAGCAAGATGAGCTTTACTGCATGCATCGACTGAAGGTTTTACCAACAAGAGAGTGAGAAAGCCAGCTAAGATTATATTCTATGGCAAACACAAAATCCCTTATCAGTCAAAAACAACATCTAAAAGTCACCTTTTTAGAAATCCCTCCACTCAGTGCATCAGAGGTTATGCATCGTGACCAGAAAACCTTTTCCCCTCCACACGCTACTTGTGAAAATGTCTTATTTCCTCTTGCTGATTCCAGCTCCCCGGGGAAACCGCGACTGGCTTTTCCTTATCGCCGTCTTTGCGCTAACACTGTCTGTGCTGTTGTGATATGAATTCCCCTGTAATAGATCTGTCCAGCAGCCGCTGAGAGACCTGTCACTGTGTCTAATAGACTTTGACTTGCGCAACATGACTTTCTCAAAGAGAGTCTTACCTTCAAATTACCCCAAACAGCACAAATACACACACACACACACACACACACACACACACACACACACACACACACACACACACACATTGACATTTTAATCCCTGTGAGGTACTCACAACTTTCGTGTGTGTGTGTGTGTGTGTGTCTGTATGTGTGTGTGTGGTCTCAGCTCGCAGTTAGAGGCTTAAGAGATTTTCTTTTCTGATGGTTTAGCAAGCATCACTTTGAGTCTTAGATGAGATTAGTTTTTTTTAGCCAGGTATTTGATAAGATGATATGTGCATTTAACAAAATAAAGTAAGAGGTAGATGCAAATGATTGGGTTTAGTCGCCAGACACCGATCTGTCTCTGCAGGCAGGCGGTGCTGCTTCTTGCATCCTGGGATGTCGTGGTGTAAAACAAGCAGCTGGGGTTTGTGTCACCTGGTTCTGATGGGCTGTGTGTTGAGACATTTTTAAAAGGTCTATATTGCATGTAAATTATACTGCATACAACATTAACATGAAATATTTGGATTTAATGTTATTATTTCTCAATAAAGGAAATTAATAATATGGACTATTTGTTGACGAGTGGATGGAAACAAGAAAAGAAATAGCGAGTGAATGGGAATGAGAGAAAAATCAAATTGATTGGGATGCAAAGAGAGGGAGGAGGATAGAGAGCTGAAGTGAAGGAGACGGCTCTATTGAATGTTAAATGAGTTGCTTAGCTTGTTATCCCAGTCTACAGCCTTATTGCCCCAGTATCTGTAAATATAAAGAGCATGAATTATACATTTCAGTGCCGGGTTCTGAAAACATTTCAGCCTGTGGTTCCAAATTGATTTAATTGAGGGTTGCCCTGGGACTCCTGCACAGAACAACAAGCTGTTAGGAAGTCACATCGGATGCCCGCCACGGCCGAGCCTGGGGCTCGATCGGGTCCCTACAAGTGTGTGATAACAATGGATTTTACGGAAGGACGTCAATCAAACCCGGTCCTGACCCACGGTTTCAGAATCAGGTAATGGATCGACCTGTGACAGCAGCGTAAGGAGAGCTGAGAGTGAGGGAGCCATAGAAATATGAGTGTAGAGGTGAGAAAGAAGGGATAATAATAATAATAATAATAACTGTATTTATACAGCACCTTTATAAACAGAGTTTACAAAGTGCTTTGACAGACAAAGCAGCAAAATCAAGGCAATAAAACAACAGAAGTGAGGCCCAACAAAGCAAAATAAAACCGTACAATAGATGAAACAATAAAACCAATCGACGCGATATAAATAAAATAAAATAAAATAAAATAGTGTAATAAAAATTATTTTGTAAAATAAAATAATATCAATAATAAAATAAAGCAGTAAAGCGACTGCATCATATGAAAGCCAGTCTGTAGAAATGGGCTTTAAGAAGTGATTTAAAAGGGCTGACGCATGAAGCGGTGGAGGAGGTGGAGTGAGTGAGTAGGAGAGTGAAGGCATCTCAGGGTTACTTGGCCAATGTTTCCATCAACCCACAGGTTAATGACTATTGACCTTCTACACACACATTTGTTCTGCAAGACTGTCCACAGGGTTCAATAACAATGTGTTGATTAACTAATTCACCCGCGACGGATGACAGCGCTCCGCTCCACATGTCAGTAGCGTAGTATGTCATTAGTATGAATTGCAGGACTCGATGCTCTGCTAGCTATCTCTGATCTACAAGGTGTGTCCGGAGCAAACGATTGATGGTGGGCTGGGGGGGGGGCAGTTAGTGATTTGTTCAGGTTCATCGCATTTGTGTCCTCTCTTAAATCAGACCCAAGGTCAGCTGAGGATCCTGTCTTTCCTGCGATGCACACAGCATGATTGACCTTTTCAACATAGCTAGAGACCAGATGAAGATGTACAGTACCATGCTGCTCAAGACTTGTTGGTCCTTTCTTCCATTTTTAGAAAAAAGGAAGATATTATGTACTTGTATTGCTGGTATTAACCAAAATTCAAATTGGCTAAACTTGCTGGGTTTTCTTGCTTTCCAGTTGTTATGTTGACTACATGATTATTTGTTTGGTTGACTGAACACATGTTTGGTTGGATCGCTGTTGGTCTACTCTCTGTTTCTGTAGAATAGAAAGATGCACGTTTACCAGGTGTGTTTTAGCTCAGAAATGAGAATCCTCTCTTTTGTTAATCTGCTGCAAAGGAGAACTCTCTAGCAGTGAGAGGATTAGTCGCCTGTGTGTGTGTGTGTGTGCGTGTGTGTGCGTGCACACATTTGTGGTGTCTGTTTAAGGTAGCTTTGTGTATGACTCTTTATGAATAGCCCAGGTATGGCATGCATGCGTCTGCCTGTTGGCATGTGTGTGTTTGGACATTTGTTCAGCGCTGCTGTGCTCACGCCGTGGTTGTGCCCTGGCGGTTGGCTGCCGTGTGTTATGCCAGCCGAGGTGTAAACGTCGAGGTGTGAGTGTATTATCGGCTCGGCTGAGCTGAGCCACCGCTTTCAGGTCTCAGCATCTCAACTGCTCATTAGCATAAAGGCTACATGAAAGGGCCGCGTCAGTCCCCTGGCACACACACACACACACACACACACACACACACACACACATGGAAGAGGTTGGAGGGACACCACAGGCTTTCTTCTGAGGAATAGCCATTACAAAGTGAATTGGAAATGTTCTGCATCTGACCACCGTGTACTTTGAGTGTCTTAGTGTGTTTGTGTGTGCATGTATGGGTGAGCAAAGGGAGAATGTTTTTCCTACTTTCCCGTTCATTGTAATGCAGTGTGTGTCTCTCTGTGTCTTTTTGTCCCCACCACCAGGTCATCACACTGGAAGGATGGGTAGATATCATGTACTATGTCATGGACGCTCACTCCTTCTACAATTTTATATATTTTATACTGCTCATTATCGTAAGTACCTCCTGGCATTTTTTTGTTGTTTCCTGATATTTGAATGTGTTACGAGGTCTCAGAAGGCCGGCTCCAAAATAGCCAAAATGAGTTAAAGACAACACTTTTGATTGGGTCCCAAATATCTGGCCCAGATGTGCATGGACTAACATGGGTCTTGTTAGAAAGTGAACCAAGCTAAAACCACTCCAGCATTTAAGGAGCCCATAAAGCTCCATTATTCACTGTAACCCTGACTTGCTATAGTTTTCTAAATTCACTTGTCTTTGTTTGTTGAGTCATCAAACATCAGTAGAGTCCAGTTTTGCACATGAATTACGAGTGGGTTCACAGTTATGCATGGAATTTAAATCTACTATTTTGCGACTATCACAATCTGAAAAGCAGATTTCTTGAAGCTCCTTTTTTTCCTCCCTTCATAGTCTGCAGCTCAACAGACATGCACATGTACAACATGTCATGTTGCTTCTGAAAGAGATTTTTGTGTACTTGCATTTCGGTCCTGCTTTGAAAAAAACCCTGACCAACCTTTTCTAAAGCAAACCACAACCCCCCCCACCCCACCCCCCCACCCCCCTCTGTTGAACCTCTCAGACGTCTTATCGTGCATAATTTCACCATATCATGCTGTTGTTGGGGTTTTCAAAGAAAGAACATATTTCACAATGCTGTACGAGCCTTCCTGTCGTTTGATGTAAAAGTGCTTATGTGCCCAGGGGGAGGGAGGGAAACAAATGGGAGAGAGAGAGAGAGAGAGAGAGAGAGAGAGAAGGGACTGGAGGAAGGGCCGAGAGAAGAACAAAGTTATTGTTATAGAAAGCGGATGAGATGGAAATTAAGATAAAAGGTCAGAGGAAAGAATTTAAGAAAAGATGGAGAAAGTGCTCATCTAATTTCCCATCGCTCTTTCCGTAACATACAGTAATGGCCTTTTAAAAATACATTACTTTAAAGAATTGATAGATATTTCTAACTTCCTGTCAAGGCCATCTCAACAGAGCATGATTTGAATTTCAAGATTCCGAAGCAATGATAAAAACAAAGTGCGTTTGATCATCTCAGATCTGGCCAAGTTTCTGGATCTGAATAATACATGAGCTGTTATATGGCTTCTTGTTGACACTGTTTTATTAACATTGATGAAGTAGTAGGGAAAGGTTTCACACACACACACATATATATGTATAACACCACCTTTATAGAGTAGGTTCTTTGATATGACAGTTAACACGTCTGCTCCTATCGTTACCACGCTGCAGCTTTATCCCTGTTCTCCTCCTCCCCGTCCAGGTGGGCTCTTTCTTCATGATCAACTTGTGCCTCGTGGTCATCGCCACCCAGTTCTCCGAGACGAAGCAAAGGGAGAACGCCCTGATGAGGGAGCAGCGCGCTCGCTACATGTCCAACGACTCCACGCTGGCCAGCTACAGCGAGCCGGGCTCGTGCTACGAGGAGATGCTGCGCTACATCAGCCACCTTTATCGCAAGTTCACACGCAGACTGCAGAGGATATACTCTGGGTGGCACAGGTCAGCTATGGGTGTTTATCAGTGCCTGAGACATCGGTGGTTTAGGACTTGTGCGTGCTTGTAGATTTCCTGTGATATTACGAGCGCGACTGTCAAAAAATGTCAGGAAGAAATCCCTTTATTGTATTTGCTGGGCCGCTTGTGTCTGTTTGCAGCGCTGTATGAGTCATTTGGGACGTCTAAATCGTGTTTTGTTACGAACATCTAATAATTGTTTCTGTGAGCTTCGGTAATTTTATATCTCACAGAATTACACATAATTATTATGCACAGCGCCCAAAAATGTAAAGAGCCACATCCCTAGGGATGCATTCAGATGCAAACACACATAAACAAAGAATGAACAACTTTCTATAAACCTGACAAAAAACCCTCTCTATTCATGTTCAGTTATTCATAATTATTATTGTCTCCTGTCCTTTGACCAGTAAAAGGCGTAAAAAGGTGAATCCTAACGGCAGCGGCGGCAGTAACGGCGGGGGTAACGGACACGGACACGGCTCCAGCAGGGGCTGCGGGGGCTTAGGCCCGGGCAGCGCACTGTGGTTGAGACCGATCCACAACCTGCTGCAGCACCATCAGCACCAGCACTGTCGCCTCAGCAACGGGGGGCAGCACACTGTCAGCGTGGTGATGGGCGAGCACACGGACGGGGAGCGGGGAGGGGAGGAGCTGGAGATGAAGTCGCTCCCCGTGCGGAGAGCAAGCACGAACGCAAACAGCGGCGACGCGTCCGGCGACGCCCAAGGCGGCATGGGGGCGCTGCTCGGCCGGCTGAACGGGGGGATGAACTATCCCACCATACTGCCGTCGTTTGTGTGCAGCTACAGCAGCAAGACGCCGCCCCCCCACTCCAAGCAGTGTGGGCCCAGTCCAGAGCAGCACCCGCCAAACCACCCGGCATCTGAACACACAGAGACGCTGAACAAGCTCTACCAGCTCATGGGACAGCACAGTAAGCACACACACATTTAAAGAGTGTAGACTGCAGCACAACACGGATGCACAGTCTGTAGGACTAGAGTCTGGAGTTTGGTTTGCTGGATAAAATCATATTTTAGCTTACAGAGTGGAGCCTGAGTCAGCTTCAGGAAGCAGTAACCACCTTGACTGAGTTGTCACATAACAACTAAACAAAGCCATCAAACATACCCCGTATTAAGGCTTCATAATCCTTTTAATCTTCTTGGTAGAGCGATCATTCTCATATAATTCTCCTGATCTTTACTTGATGCTCTGGATTTCCCGCAGGCTCCGTTATCTTTTTGGTCATCGCACATCTTCATTTCTTGCTCTTTTTCAAATCCTCTTCCCGAGTTTGACCTGAGGTAACCTCTGGCCACATCTGCTCCGCACACAGCACGTGACTCAAACAGCACTTAGGGAGTCCTGACAGGAAATCCATGTCTCAAGCGCCACGGTCGTCGGTGCGTTGAGGTGGATAAAGGAGGGGATTGAGGGAGTCAGCAAGCGTGTGGGGGAGTAGTGAGGAAAGACGTAAACAAAAGCGCAGGTATACGTTGTTGTTTGGAGTTAAAAAGAGGGGCATGAGAGATTTAAGAGGGAGAGGCTAGGAGGGGGAGAAATATCGAGGAAAATAAATGAGGTAAAGTGAGAGAAAAGAGGAGAGGGAGAAATAAAAGAAGGTTAGCTTGAAGGGGGGCAGAGAGGAGACAACACAAAACGATAATGGATGCACAGGAAAATTATGAAAACAGCAGACGTATGATAGACTCGTCTGTTCTGTGCTAATGAAGGGAGTCTGCTAAGCACACACACACACACACACACACACACATTTACACACCACTGGCTGCCGAACACTCCAAGCATAATTAAGCACACATAAATCAGTTCCCTGCTGTAGCGAAGAGTTACTGCGTGACACGTGCTGGGTGTTGAGAGAGGTTTAAAAACACCACTAGTGTGCTACAACAGTCAGCCCACCTCTGATCTGCACACAGCGAGAGAAACAACACCAATGTGCGTTGAAGAGTGCATGTTTTAAATTGGTGATTTAATGGTTTGCAGTTGACTGAAGGCTCAAATCTAAATGAATGAATAGTCTCGAGTCACTGTTGGACATTTCTAGCTCTGTAGTTTCTTAATGTTTGCTTTCAGCTTCGTCAGATGACTACATCTCTGATAAACCGGGCGATGTAATGAGATTAGAGTTTGAAAGCTGTTTTTGGTTGAATAGCCTCTTTATACTGTTCTTTGCAATCTTTTTTTTTTTATAACTCTGCGGCTCTCAAATCTAATTTTACTTTAAGTGCAATCTAATCTAACCAAATGCAATAAAAAGGTTTAAACACGAGACATATTTTGGGCCTTGGAGGCGTTTGCTTAATAGAATTTGCGAGAATGTAAACAATCTGTTGATAGTTGGAGTCAAAACACTTTGATAAATAGACACAGGAGTTCATTTGTGAGATTATAAAAGACAATGAAATATGATGACAGCGTTCACAAGCCTTTTTGTTTTCATAGCTTGAGGAGTGTCGTAAACAACATGTTGCTCTGCTGATGTTTCCAGAAGTGGTGTTCAGCTGCGTTGCAGGTCCTTCAGCCTGCTTCTAACAGGATGTAGTCGTAGTCGTCTCCTACAGGACTGTGGGCCAGCGCGCTGTACTCACTGCAGAAACCATCTTGTTTGGGCTCTGTATTGATACAGGACATCGCTTCAGCACTGCATACACAATGTCCCTTACATTATAATATTACTTTGTCCACTATATTATGTCTCATCGTGTCTATTGTACTCTTTTTTTAAATACAGCGTCATAACGTTCTGTCTCTCTTTGACAAAAAAACAACCTTGTTTACCTTGTAAAGAGAATGTAAAGTTGATATAAAAATACATTGTAAAACAATACGCGCAAGTGTGTAATTTCCTCTGGGAATTGAGGGGACATGTCCGCCTTACTTTAATTGTTTCAGGTTGATTTAGTCTCTCTGGATATTGTGTTCTGACTGTTCATCCACCGGAGTTGAAAGGAGAGAAGTTGATAACAATGTTGATGAAGTCGTCTGCGTCGCTTTAATTATCCAGCACAAGGAGGTTTCACCTCTCGGGCTGCTTACTTACTGCACTTTTTAAGACGAGGTTGTTGACTTCAGGCTCAACTCAGTTCGACCTTCTTTACATATTATTATCTCTGTTATTATTTACGGTTTACTTTTCCTAAACAATACCCTGGAATTGAATATCAATCATATGCAGTGCAGTTGCAGATAATGCAGTAAAGGACTGTTGTGTTGTAAAGATTTGATGTGTTATCGGGAGGTTTGGAGATATCAACCATAGAGAAAAAGCAATATTAGCATTCAGTTCCTCACAGTGGAGAATGCTGAAAGGCTAATGAAAGTCAAAGACAGTAACTTTTAACATGTCGGACTTTAAAGCTGAAGAGACAACTGCAGCACGAGGACAGCTAGCAAAACCCCCCTTTGCAATGTCTGACTGACCGCCTCCACCCGTGTGTCCCCCCCCCCCCCTCCAGGTCGCCAGCGGCTGCTATACCAGCTGGCAGGCGTGGTGCCCAGCCCTCTGCTCCTGGAGCTGCTCAGCTGCCCCCTATGTGCCCGCAGCCTGGAGACCTTGGAGCTGGAACTGGGAGACCTGGAGGGAGGCAAGGGAGAGGCGGACGGACTGCACGACTTCCCCCAGGTCAGACTGCACGGGGGTGCACTAATGATGATGGTAAACAGTGAGGACGAAGGTTGTTGAAGTGGTGATTTGGCATTAATGACGGCGGTGATGATAGAGATGACAGTGGGTGAAGGAGTTATTAACAAGGCAATATATCATTTGAAAAATTGGAAGAAATACTACTGTACACTACTACTAAATTACAATAACTACTAAATAAAATACCTTAATCAGTATTTTCACCTTTTGGCGCCTCACTTTAAATGACTCCCCCATCTTTGCTCTAAGGGGGGGGATCCGAGAGGCGGGCGAGGTCGCAGCCGACGGCGAGGGATCGTGGGGTACAAGAACGTAGTGGTGCGGGCCTGGGTGGGCTTCAGGGAGAGACTGAAGAGGATTGTGGAAAGCAAATACTTCAACCGAGGGATCATGATCGCCATCCTCGTCAACACTCTCAGCATGGGGATAGAGTACCACAAGCAGGTGAGGATTCATGAGATGAAGGGCGAACGACAGAGAAACAAGCAGTTTGATGAAGACTGTTGGCTGTCAGACTCGGCATTGATGTGTGAAACAGGCATTTGGTTGTCTGAGTGTGAGAGTATAGTGGGGGAGGAGACTCGCTCCCTCCTTCTCTCACACTCCAGTATTATGGTTTTAGTTTACCCAACATCTGGGACGTATCGGCTTAATAATACAGCCCCCTTCCCTCGCTCCGCTGTCGCACACTCTGACAAATTTGTGCGGTTGCGCGGACATGTTCATCCACAGAGTTTTTACACCCAAGTTTATTATGAATGCGCACACACGCACACAACCTTTCAGATTACCAGCAGAGAAGATTCTTGTGCATGCACACGGTTCCCTTCTTTGTCTCTCCTTGCCTCCCTCTCCTCTAATACCCTCTCCAGGGGCTGTGTGTGTGTGTGTATGTGTGTGTGTGTGTGTGTGTGTGTGTGTGTGTGTGTGTGTGTGTGTG